AATTTGGCTAGGTTACTGAACGAGTGATTCACATTGGATACTAACAAAACTCCGTCATGGACAGATGGCAGTAGTTAGGCCCTGAAGGCGGCCTTGCTTTCAAATCCCTCCATGACCCCACTTGCTCCCTATCTCTCTAACCTCTTCCAAACTTTCAATCCTCTGAGAGCTCGGTGCTTTTTCAATTTTGGTCTCTTCTGCAACCCCAACTTTCATCTCCCCAACCCTGGCAGCTGTACTTTCAGCTGCCTGTAGCCTAAACTCAAGAAGCCCTTTTCTAAACCTCTCCACACCTCTCTGCCAATATTCCTTCAAAGTTGTGTTAACTTGTGGTCACGTTGCAGTTGAGAATGTGCTGTATGAAGACCAGAGGCTGCTCATAGGCAATGTTCCCTTTAAAATGCAGGCCTACACTACAGCACGTCATTATTGAAGGGACTGTTCAGTCGAATCAAACAGCTGTGCACAGCAAGCAAAAATTAGAGGGCGTATTACTTTCTCTCCTTTTTGCTCTTTATATCCTCTTTGAAAACCATCCTCAAATTCTATCTTTTTGATCATCTGTCCAAGTATCTCCTCATGTTGCTCAGTATCTGGCTGTGGTTTATAATGCTCCTGTGAAATACCTAATGATAATTTACTCAACTAAAGGTATGACATAAAGATGGGTTTTTGTTGTTGCTATAAACTACAAGGCATTGGTGCTTCACCAAGGTACAGTTCTTGAAGTGAAAAGGTGTATTTCTGTGTTGCAGTATGGCCGGGGCACAGGCACAAAATCATCCTTCACTCCATTTGTGGACCCAAGGGTATTTCAGACATCACCAAGTGGCAGTGAGGAAGAGTCATCAGCAACAGGTAAGTGCCAAATGCAACTGACAAGGACACTGTCCGCCTCAGGGTCTAAACTTTGCAGAACCATCCACAGATTTGCATTTGCTAGGGCAATGACAAGCTATCAGTCTTGGCTGAGAGGTAGCACTCTGAGCTTAGTAAGAGGATCCTGGTCTTTAAGCCATTCCTCAAAACCATGAGCCTGTTATCTTATTCACACAATCCACTGACACCGACAGAGGGTGTGCTTCAATGACAAGAGTTCTGTCCTTTCAACATTTACACCCTCAGCCAAATGTGAACAATCCCACCACATTATTTCAATGAAGAGCAGGAGAGCTCTCCCCAGTACTCAGCCAACAGTTAACTGCCAGCTAGCATCATGAAAAGAGCTGAGCTGGACATTTGGCGCGGCACGGTGGCTCAGTGGTTAGCACTGCTGCCTCACAGCGCCAGGGGCTCGGGTTCGATTCCACTCTCGGGTGACTGTCTGTTGGAGTTTACACATTCTCCCTGTGTCTGCATGGGTTTCCTCTGGGTGCTCCGGTTTCCTCCCTAGCTCCAAAGATGTGCAGGGTAGGTGGATTGGCCATGCTAAATTGCCCATAGAGTTCAGAGATGTGTAGATTTAAGTGGGTTATAGGGGGATGGGTCTGGGTGTGATGCTGCAAGAGTCGGTGTGGACTTGCTGGGCCAAAGGGCCTGTTTTCACACTGTAGGGATTCTATGATTATCGCATTGATCTTTGTGGGATCTTGCTGTGCATAGCTTCGCTGCCATGTGTCATTGGTTAGATCCCTTGGTGCCATTTCCTCCTGCGACTTTAATTGGCTCTTCTGTTCCTCCAGCAATGTTCTCCAGTGAGATGCTCCGACAGGAACAGGCAAAGCTGAACGAAGTTCGGAAGATCTCCGTGGTAAATGTCAACCCGACGAACATCCGACCCCATAGTGACACCCCGGAGATCCGAAAATACAAGAAGCGGTTCAACTCCGAAATACTCTGTGCCGCACTTTGGGGTGAGCTACATATCATTTCCACCCTCCCCTAAGTCTATCTGCCAGTGATTATCTCTCTGTTCTCCTCAATGGGACCACTCATGCGACCATGAGAGGTCTCATATTAATCCTACTCTGCTCTTCATCCACACCTGTGCTTTTATTTTCTGGGGCCACAGCAGAAGCATCTAGACTGAGATCACTATTTGGCTTCAGCCACTGCTCCCCCCCACTTGCCAGGCTGAATCTGCTGAAGTTTCATCACCACTAATGCCCAGGTTATTGGATCCTGTGTAAGTCAGAGTGGCATCTGGAGCCTTACTGTGCAATTTGGCTCATCTGGGTGAGGCACCAACCCACTAAAGGTTGGGCTCGTTTGCAACACAAAGAAAGATGGTTTTGGTTGTTCAGCTCAGTCATTTCAGCTCCAGGACATCTCAGCAGGAGCTGCTCGAGGGAGTGTCCTCGACCCAACCATCTTCAGTTGCTTCATCAATGACTTTCCTTCCATTGTACGGTCAGAGATGAGGATATTTGCTGATAATTGTGCAATGTTCAGCACCATTCATGACTCTTTAGGTGATTCCTTAGGCACTGAGGCACTCCATGTCCAAATACAACAAGATCCGGACAATATCCAGGCTTGCACTGACAAGTGGCAAGTAACATTCACACTAAATAAGAGCCTTGACATCTCCAACAAGCAAGACTGTGACCATTCTCTCTCGATGTTGAATGATGTCGCTGAATCCCCACAGTCAACATCTTGGGGTTTATCACTTACCAGAAACTGCAGTTACCATGTAAATTCTGTTGTTACACGAATAGGTCAGAGACTAGGAACCCCGCAGCAAGTAACTCACCTCCTGACTCCCCACAGTCTGTCCACCATTCACAAGGTACAAGCCAGGAGAGTGATGGAATAGTCCCCATTTGCCTAGATGGGTGCAGCTCCAACAACATTCGAGCAGCTTGACACCATCCAGGATAAAGCTCCTTAGACAGTGTCTTCCAAACCCATGAGGAAGAGATCGGCATCATGTGAATGGGAACACCATCACCTGCAAGCTTCGCTCCATACTGACTTGTAAATATATTGCCATGCCTTCAATGTCACTGTAAAAAAAATTGGTACTTCCTTCATAATGGCACTGTCGATCTACCTACAGTAAATGGACGTTTTTCTTCCATTCATGGGACGTGGGTGTTTCTGTCTGGGCTAACATATATTCCTAACCATATCGTTTATGCATGTGTGTCTGTTTATCTATCTGTGTACCCCATTCAGTACTCGCCCATGTTGGGCTGTGATGCTGCCAAACAGCATCTGATTTGATTTGAACAGGAACTGGTGAGACTGTATTTGCAAGCTTGACTAGGGATTCCTATTAGCAGTTAGATTGGGCTACTTAAATGTTTCCGCGAACCAGGGCGATCATCTTGATGAAGGAACAAATCATAGCAGCATTTAAGGAAATAGGAGTGGTAAGAATCTGCTCCAAGTTGTCTATGTTCCTGGTGAGGAAGAAAAGATTCGACATCAGGAAGGATTGCGTCTGATTTATTTCTACCGGACACCAATCTCTTCCTCTGAAGCTAACAGCTATTCTGTTTTCCCTTGTGTTACAGGAGTGAACCTATTGGTGGGCACAGAAAATGGTTTAATGTTACTGGACAGAAGTGGCCAGGGGAAGGTTTACAACCTCATCAATCGGAGGCGCTTCCATCAGATGGATGTACTGGAGGGTCTTAACATCCTCGTGACGATATCTGGTAAGGGATCGCTTGGCATCTTCAGCGCACGTACATGACCCGTGTCAGCCATTCGTCAAGCGCATAAGAGAAGAAATAGTTAATTTTTGATCATTCAAGTTTAACAAGTTAATCCAACTTTCTTAAAGTCTTTTTGAGGTTTGGAAATGCGGAGCCAGAGTAAACTTTCTTCATCAGTCAAAAGTCATGAAAATTCAACTTACTGAAAAGGACAGCAGTAAAGACCAACTGAGATTTAACATGTAACAGTCGTGCCAGACAGACTGTGACTTGGTGCTGTGAGAAAGAGGTTCATTTTGATAAATTTTGTCCACTGTACAGGTAAGAAGAATAAATTGAGGGTGTATTACCTGTCTTGGTTGAAGAATAGGATATTGCACAATGATCCTGAGGTGGAGAAGAAACAGGGCTGGACCACAGTTGGTGATTTGGAGGGCTGCGTACATTACAAAGTTGGTATGTAACAAATTTAATGTCCATCATAGACTTTAGTTAATTAATCACTCTATAAACCGCTGTCTCAACCTGTCCTGCAACTTTCAATCATTTAAGCACAAATGTTTTCAGGTCCCTCTGCTCCTGCATCCCCTTAAAAATTGACAGCTTCAGTTTATATTTTCTCTCTGGGTCCTTTCTACTGCAATTAATCACATCATGCCTCTCTACATTAAATTTCATTTGTCATATGTCTATCCATCCCACCAACCTGTTCACATCCTTTTGCAGTTCCACACTATCCTCCTCATAGTTCACAATCTTTCCAAATTTCCTATCATCTCCAAGTTCTGATATTGTGCCCAGCAGACCCAGATCTAAGCCATATGTATCAGGAAAAGCAGAGATTCTAATGACAGTCCTTGAGGAACTCCAGTACAAAGCTTCCTCCAGTCCAAAATACATCCATTATGCAATACTTTCTGTTTCTAATCACTCATTCAAATTAATATCCATGCTGTTACAGTCCCTTTTATTGCATGAGCTGTAACTTTCTCACTGTTGTATGGCACTGTATCAAATGCCTTTTGGAAGTGTATGTAATCCACATCTCCAGAGTAGCCCTAATCAACCCTCTGTTACCTCATCGCAAAACTTTAGCAAGTTAGTTTAACAAAATTTTCCACTTTCACTCTCTTTAATGTCCTTGGATACATCTCATTCAAGCCTGATGCCTTGTAAACTTTTGAATATCCAATACCACCACCATATCAATTTTAAACTCTTAAATTTTCTTCATTACCCCTTTTATCACTATAACCTGGACAAGCATGCCCCCTACCTCCTTGCCTCCATTCCCTTTTTGCTCTCCAGTCAGCCGCAGTATTCTTTTCACCACATTTTATTATTTACAGAAGTTGTTTTGATTCCCTTTTATCTTAGCTGCCAGTCTCTTCTCATACTCTCTCTTTGGTTTTCTTATTCATTTTCTCCTCTGAAATATCTAAATTCTGCCAAAATAGGAGAAATTTTCTCTTGGCATGCATAGGTCAGCCACTTATTTTAGGAACATAATCAGGCCATTAAAGATCTTAAAATCTGTTTGAATAATTACAAATATCATGGTTGATTTGTACATCAACATTATCCACCCATCTGGTCTCAATGTCATTCATATCGAGCAAAAATCTAACAATCCTGGATTTAAAATTATCAGTGAAATGCCACCACATTTTCTTCTATACAAGAGAGCTCTCAACTTCCAACAACCTTGATGTGAAGACGTTTTTCCTAATTTCTCTTCTGATTGGCCTGGCTTGAATTTTAATTAGACACTCTCCAACCAGAAAAAAAAACCTTTCAAAATCCTGAAAATGTCGTCAAATCACCTTTAAACTTGTGCATCTCAGTGATCATTTTCCTAAACTATCTGTTGGAGTCCTGGTAACATTCTGATGAATCCTTCCTGCACATCTTCAAAGGTTAACAGATCCTTCATAAAGTCTGGTGCTGAGAAATGGGCACAGTGTTCTGGGTGTCATCTTATTTTCACTCAGTTTTGACACAGGAAGAAGTCCAGAACTGCTTAGGAACGCTGCCTAATTTCCTTCACTGGGATCCTGAGGGTATCCCAACATTCCCACTGGCTGAGGTTAACGTAGTCAACACAAACAGGGATCGAACCTGAGTCACTCATGAAGAGGCCACTTCCCGGTATTTTTCCTAAAGACTAAAATATCAGCTTCAGACTTGAACTAAGTTGTACAAAGTTAACCTCTTGAGTTGCTGTTGGGATATAGTTTTAGTCATAGGCAATAATTTCTGTTGAAAATACCTTACCGGTAAATAGCTCCTCAAAGCTTGAATTTAAATTTATTTTTTAATTTTTTTGAGTTAGCAAAAGATTCTTGAGGAAACAAAAGATCACTGGGGAGAAATGTAGATATGAGATTAAAATCAGATCAGCTATGGCTTATCAAATGGTGGAACAGGCTGAAAGTACCGAGTGATCGATACTTGTTTGTATGTGTGCATGTCTGAGCAGGTTGTTTCTTCGAACTGCAAAAAATCGTTTCAGCCAAAGCTGCTCATTTTCTTGACACCATGTCTGTAACTTTCAGCATACACTCCCTCCACCACTGATGCACAGCAACAACAGTGTGTTACAAGATGCACTGCAGCACCTTGCCAAGCTTCTTTTGATGGCACTTTCCAAACCAATGATTTTTCCCACGCAGCAACACCAGGGCAGCAGACAGATGGGAACACAACCACCTCCAAATTCCCTTTCAAGCCACCCACCATCCTGATTTGGAACTATACCACTGTTCCCGACACTGAACCTCACTCCCTAACAGCACCATACGTTTCTCTACAGGTCAAGAACAGAGGTGATTACTCCCACCTTTTAGGGGAAATTAGGGATGGGCTACAAACATTTGTACCCCACAAAAGAATAAAAATGAATTAACTTCTTAACAAGCATAAACTGCTTTTGCTAACTGAGTTAAGCACTCAATGAGCAACACAGAAACATAGCAAATAGGAGCAGGAGAAGGCCATTCAGTATGATCATGGCTGATCATTCGACTCCGTACCCTATAGCATCTTTCGCCATACACCCTTTGATCTGTTTAGCTCCAGGAACTATGTCTAACTCCTTCTTGAAAATGTTCAATGTTTTGGCCTTAACACTTTCATTGGCAGAGAATTTCACAGGCGCATCACTTTCTGGGTGAAGACATTTGTCCTCCTCTCAGTTTTGACTGGCCTACCCCATATCCTTAAACTGTGGACCCCTTCTTCTGCACTCCCCAGTCATTGGGAACATCCTTCCTGCATTTCTCTTGTCTAGTCCTTTTAGAATTTTATAGGCTTCCATGAGATCCCTCCTCATTCTTCTAAACTCGAGTAAATATCTAAACCAGTCCAGTCCCTCTTCATATGTCAGTCCTCCCATCCCAGGAATTAGTCTAGTAAACCTTTGTGCACTCCCTCCATAGTCAGAACATCCTTCCTCAGATTAAGAGACCAGACCTGTGCAGAATACTCTAGGTGTAGACTCATCAAGGCCCTGTACGATTGCAGCAAGAAATCCATGCTCCTGTGCTCAAATCCTCTGGCTATGAAGGCCAATGTACCATTTGCCTTCTTCACCAGTTACTGTGCCTGCATGCTTACTTTCAACAACTGGTGCACAAGGAAATCTATGTCTCATTGCACCTCCCCCTTTCCCAATTGCTATTGCAGAAAATACGGAGGCATGGGATTGAGGGTGATTTAGCGGTTTGGATCAGAAATTGGCTAGCTGTAAGAAGACAGAGGGTGGTGGTTGATGGGAAATGTTCATCCTGGAGTTCAGTTACTAGTGGTGTACCTCAAGGATCTGTTTTGGGGCCACTGCTGTTTGTCATTTTTATAAATGACCTGGATGAGGGCGTAGAAGGATGGGTTAGTAAATTTGCGGATGACACCAAAGTTGGTGGAGTTGTGGATAGTGCGGAAGGATGTTGCAGGTTACAGAGGGACATAGATAAGCTGCAGAGCTGGGCTGAGAGGTGGCAAATGGAGTTTAATGCGGAAGAGTGTGAGGTGATTCACTTTGGAAGGAGTAACAGGAATACAGAGTACTGGGCTAATGGTACTGGGCTTGGAGTATTGCGTACAGTTCTGGTCACCGCATTATAGGAAGGATGTGGAAGCATTGGAAAGGGTGCAGAGGAGATTTACCAGGATGTTGCCTGGTATGGAGGGAAGGTCTTATGAGGAAAGGCTGAGGGTCTTGAGGCTGTTTTCGTTAGAGAGAAGAAGGTTAAGAGGTGACTTGATAGAGACATACAAGATGATCAGAGGATTAGATAGGGTGGACAGTGGGAGCCTTTTTCCTCGGATGGTGATGGCTAGCACGAGGGGACATAGTTTTAAATTGAGGGGTGATAGATATAGGACAGATGTCAGAGGTAGGTTCTTTACTCAGAGAGTAGTAAGGGCGTGGAATGCCCTGCCTGCAAAAATAGTAGACTCGCCCATTTTAAGGGCATTTAAATGGTCATTGGATAAACATATGGATGATAATGGAATAGTTTAGGTTAGATGGGCTTCAGATTGATTTCACAGGTCGGCGCAACATCGAGGGCCGAGGGGCCTGTACTGCGCTGTAATGTTCTATGTTCTATGTTCTATGTTCTAATCTACCACCATTCAGATAATCATCCACTTTCCTGGTTTTTGCTACCAACGTGGATAACCACACATTTGTCCACATTATATTACATGTGCCATGCATTTGCACACTCACTCAACTTGTCCAAATCACACTGAAGTATCTCTGCATCCTTCTGTCAGCTCACCATCCCACTCAGCTTTGTGCTGCCTGCAAACTTTGAGATATAACATTTAGTTCCCTCATCTTATTTATTAATATATATTGTGAATAGCTGGGGTCCAACACTGATCCCTGCATTACTTACTGGTTACTGGCTGCCACTCAGAAAATGACCCATTTATTCCTACTCTTTGTTTCCTCTCTGTTCATGTCAGTACACTACAGCTTTAAGTTTACATGCTAATCTCTTTACGTGTGACCTTATTGAAAACCTTCTGAAAATCAAAGTAAACCACATCCACTAGTTCGCCCAGTTCAGTGAATAATCCTTGAAAATTTCCAACAGATTTGTCAAGCGTGATTTCCCTTTCATAAATCCATGCTTTCCAATCCTGTCATTGTTTTCCAGGTGCTTTGCTATCACTCTAGTATTTTCCTCATTACCAATTACAGGCGAACCAGTCTGTAATTCCCTGTTTTGTCTCTACCTCCATTTTCAAATAATGGGTTTATATCAGCTACTGACTAATCCATTGGAACTGTTCCATAGTCTGTAAAATCTTGAAAGATGACCACCATTGCATCCATTGTTCCTAGAGCCACTCCCTTAGGTACTCTGGGATAAACATTGCCGTGCCCTGGGATTTTGTTGGCCTTTAAACCCGTCAGTTTCCCCAACACCATTTCTCTATTACTGCTGATATTCTTCAGTTCTTCTCTTTGACTAGACCATGTATTCCCCAACATTCTTGGGATGTTATTTGTATCCTCCACTGTGAAGACAAAACCGAAATGTGCATTTAATTGTGCTGCCATACCTTTGTTCCTCATTATAATTTCCCCACTTTCTGACTGCAAGTTCTGGAATGAGGTCTGAATATACCAGCGTACACATGCCCAATAACATCATGATGGTAATAAAGTGTGTTTAATTATTGTGAGGCCCACAGCAAATCTTTCTCACTTAGAGCTTGTCTTCTTTCTGAACTGTAAGTTGCTATTAGTTCCACTTACCTGCTGTTTCTTGCTGTTTTTTCTTTTCAAGTAATTTGGAAGTTACTAATTTCCTTCCGAAAGTTCCTATTGAATTTGCCTCCATAATCCTCTCAGATAGCACATTGCAGAGAGTAAAAACTCACTGAGTTTAAAAATAATTCCCCTCACCTCTGAAATAAACCAAAACACAGTGCTGTGAATGCTGGAAATCTGAAATCAAAACAGAAATTGCTGAAGAAACTCAGCAGGTCTGGCAGCATTTGTGGAGGGAAAACAGAGTTAATGTTAACAAAATGTTAACTCTATTTTCCCTCCAGAGATGTTGTCAGAACTGCTGAATTTCTTCAACAATTTCTCTTTTGGTCTCCTTATTTCTGTTCTGATTCTTTTTTGCCAATTCCATCAATTATTTTGTTTCCTTTCAATTTGCAGTTAAATACGAGAGGATTAGGTTCCTTGTGATCGCTTTGAAGAATGCAGTGGAAATTTATGCCTGGGCACCAAAGCCTTATCACAAATTCATGGCCTTCAAGGTACAACTTTGACAAGACAAACTCATGTTATTGTTTTTCCCAAAGCTTCCATCAGCCATTTCAAATAACGAGCTTCTCTCAACAGTCTTTTGCAGATCTTCAGCACAAACCATTATTGGTTGACCTAACGGTGGAAGAAGGGCAAAGGTTAAAGGTTATCTATGGGTCTCACACTGGTTTCCATGTGATTGATGTCGATTCAGGGAATGTCTATGACATTTATATACCATCACATGTAAGTGGAATGTTCCACTGTTCTGATTCATGGTAGAGAAGCCTTCTGTCCTATTTGCCACAGCCCAAGTAACACGAAACCCTACAATATTGTATGTGTTGTAATGATTTAGAATGATATCACCTTGAAGGATGCCATGATGTCTGAGCCATCTGTTTGAAAGAACTATTCAATTATTCCCACTCTTTCCTCACCACTGTTCTCACGATTGTTAAATTTGAAATATTTATCCAATTCTTCATAAAAGTTACCATTGCATTGGCTTCTACCACCCTTTTCAGGCAGCTGTTATGATCCCAGCTGAGGTTAGTAGTGGACAAATCAGATCTAGATTGAAATCTGGCAAAATAGAACTCTTCTTTAGGGTTTGACAAGGTCACTGAAACCCAGAAACACCACAATAAAATACAATCCTGTTATTTCCAATAGCATCCCATCACTGTAGTCAAATTTCAAAGAGAATTCCCTTCTCTATCTCGAGTAGAGTTCAGCCTGGCTGTGGCTTCAACACCCAATCATGAGAATCTGATAGCCTTCCCCTGGATATCATCATATAACCAAGCCTAAACTTGCTCAACTTTAATTAACACACTCAGGATTTTAACCAAACACTTCTGGTCTGGAACTTTCAAGCTAATGTCCTTCATTTTCCTTGGTCAATGTAAGAGTCAACTTAATTTTGAAGGGCAGAATCTTGTCATCTGTCATAGATCTCTATTTCTCTCTTTCCCTTACCATCCCAATCTCTCTCCTTCTCCTTTCTCTGTCTTTCTTTCTATTTCTCTATCCGTTTCTCTCTTTGTCCCTGTCTGTCTTACCTGTCTCTTTCTTTCCCTGATTGTCCTTTCTGTCTTGGCTTTTATCTTTTCCCACGTTGATTAATGATGTTTGTGAAAATTTTCAAACCAGATTCAGGGCAACATCACACCTCATGCTCTCATTATTCTCCCCAAAACGGATGGGATGGAAATGCTGCTGTGTTATGAGGATGAGGGGGTTTATGTCAATACGTACGGGCGAATCACCAAGGACATTGTGTTGCAATGGGGGGAGATGCCCACATCTGTCGGTAAGGTCACAGAGAGCTTCCTCTCATTTTTTGCCTGCCCCTCAGTGACTGCCACCTGCATAATGAAGCTTCCTGTTTCTTCACTGCAGCCTACATCCATTCCAGCCAGATAATGGGCTGGGGCGAGAAGGCCATTGAGATTCGGTCAGTGGAGACTGGGCACTTGGATGGGGTTTTCATGCACAAGAGAGCACAACGCTTGAAGTTTCTGTGCGAGAGAAATGACAAGGTGAGAAGCTATTCCTATTCTCAGTGAAGCTACAGTCAACTACATTGACCTTGGGTTAAAAGCATGGCCCATGTCTGTTTCCCTTGAAGGCTGTGAGCTTAGTCTGCACTCAGTGTAGAGCTAAACCTTGCAAACAAGGGAGCACTAGATCGATGATTCCCCTGTTCTTTTTTTGTGTGTGACCTATATTTGTTTAAGTGGAGCAGCCTTTTAATATTTCATCAACAGCTGCAAACATGATAACATAAAGGGGAAGACTACTGCTTAGTTTAGACAGGATCATCTAGGTATTGTTGTGGCTTCAATGTTGCACAGCTTACAATCAACATGGGTCCCAACTCCAGTCTGTAATTCACTCCGAGGTATCTGTTATTCTCGACGTAAACCCCTGAATGCCTTGGTTAGCTTCCGGTCTGTAAATTACTCCTGCATATCTGTTATTCTATTCGTAAACCCCCTCAAACCCTTCAATTAGGTTCAAGGGATAATTCCCTTCCAGGTATCTGTTATTCTGTATATAAACCCCTGAAACTCACAATTAGATTCCAGCCTGTAACTCACTCCTGTGTATCTCTTATTCTATATCTATAAACTCCTTGATTACATTCCAGCCTGTAACTCATTCCTGTACATTCTGCCAATACTGTAACCTGAGCACTAACCGTCTGTAATTTCCAGGTTTTCTTTGCATCTGTGCGTTCGGGTGGAAGCAGCCAAGTTTTCTTCATGACCCTGAACAGGAACTCGATGATGAACTGGTAACAAGATGGAGAGCACGCATTCTGTTCACACTCGCACTGACATATGGAAGTCAACAATTTAGAGAGATTTCTAACCTTTAAAGGAAAAAGCCTCTTGATGTCACGGATATAAAAGGACTAATGCAATATAACAAAGCCTGTGTTGCGTATCTTGAGATGATAGTGATGATTTTTTTTAAGTCCCGGTAAACTTTGTGTGCGTGGCAAGGGTCTTGGAGGGAAAACCCTCAACATCGAGACCAGCTGTGAAGACCTCTTAGCATCAGGATACCCTGAAGGTGATGGTGTTATTTTCCTGCTGGCCACACTGTGCCAGAACTGAACATAGGGAGGGAGCTAGAGAGAGAGCATGATGCTGCTGCTGTCTCCAGTAGTGGAGAAAGTTGTGGGAATGGGCAGGGGTGGGTGTTGGCGGGGGTGGGCAGGGTGGGTGGGGCTGGTATCAGCAGGCAAATGAACGACCATATTTTCCCCAAAATCTTTGTCTTTTTTCTGATCATTAGAAACAAGGGCCCTGGCCTGGTAAAAAAAAAAGGGGCAGTCATTACTGTTAATTCTAACAATGAGGTAAGTGTTTTGTTCATAACAAAGGAAAATCAATCATTTAAAGGACAGATTACTACTAATTTCAAAGTTGATAGAACAGCATAGCAATTCTATCACTAGTTTGGTGGAAAGGTTCAGTGTGTGGCTGGGTGGCTTAATTTACAGAAGTGTATTTACACTTTGACTATAACTAGTGTTAGGCTCTGAGCCTAGTCGATTATTGGGTCTATTTCAGTTCACTAAGGTTTAATCTCAGGAATTTCCTTTGGGGATCTATTCCTGTTGAACTGACTGGTTGCAAAGGAATCCATAATGTCACTTTTGGAACAGGGGAGAAGACAGCATTACTTCTGGTGAAAAGTCTTTTTGGAAACTGCCTGGAAGGGTCAAGAGTGGGTGAGAGAAGAGGGAGGGAGGGTGCGAGGGGACCAAGGGACATGGTAGAAGGGAGGAAAAAGGGAAATGGAGGGTGAACTGCTGGAGGATCATTTTGGAGATATAATCCTTGTAAGTGATGTGAAAGGGTTCAGTGCCAGACAAAACAGCCAATCAAAAAGGGTGTTCCCAGCATCTTGCTACGCTCTGCCAACTACACTTGTATCCTCCCCCATGGCTCCAGTCATAAATTTATTCCAATAGCCTCAAGATGGTGTGGATATTTCCTGCAATTCTTTCACAGATGTGAACATCATTTCCAAGGACATCATTGGTTGCTCACTTCTTAAGGTCTTTGATCTGAATGGCTCATTCGGCCATTTCTGACGGCAGTTAAGAGTCAACCACATTGCTATGTGTCTGGAGGTACACGCAGGCCAGACCAGTTACGGATGGCAGATTTCCCTCCTGACACTATCAGAAACCCTTCCTCCCCACACCCAGTGCAATTGCTGAATGTTCCAACGTTGGCCATGGCTGTTTGGCGGGGGAAGGCAGTTTGCACATATGTTTATTTTAGTCAAACACTTGGTAGGTTGGCAGTAAAGGACAAAGCTGGAAGTGAAGGCAGGCTGGAGGTTGACACATCAGTGCTAAGGAGGTGGTCACAGATGTTACTCAGTCACGTGTGCCCGGCCTTCAATCATTTTGGTGGCATTTTGTTTGTTTTGAAAATGCAAAAGCCAAAAAGAAGAAATGGATTTCTACATTATGAATTACCCTGTGAGAGGGAGGGGTGTGGTTAGGGGTTGGGGACAAAATGTGGGGACGTAGCGTGTGTTATTTGGGAGCTTGATGAGTTCTGCTCCTCTATAGAACCCACTTGTGTATCTGTCTAAATGGTTATGATTGAACTGAGTGATGTGAAGAATATTCTTTCCTTAAATAGCTGCAGGGCATGGCTGATTACGGATTAGAGTGTTGTCATGGATCAATCTATGTAATTTCCTGTTTTTTAACCTACCTCCTTTTATCATTTTGTGTGTAGCTGTTTTAACAGCAGGTATTAAGTCAAGCTTGAAGCTTTTTTTAAAAAAAAATAAATTAAATGTGTCATTTTCTTACTTTTTTTGTTATAGTAATTTCAAAAGACATCCCCTGCTCTTTGGTTTCTATTTAAATTGTAGTCTGTAACTCATTCCTGGATATCTATTCTATGTATGAACAACCTGAATCCTACACTAGATTCCAGTCTGTAACATATTCCAGGTGGTCTATTATTGTAGATATAAAACCCTGGAATGTTTGATTAGATTCTAGCCTGTACCTCAATCCCAGATATCTGTTATTCTACATAAAAATCCCACAGAACCCCCAATTAGATTTCAATCTGTAACTCACTCCCTGGTGCCTGTTATTCGATAAAAAATCAGCATGAACCCATCAATAAGGTTCCAGTCTATAACTCATTTCTGGTATCTATTATTCTATGCATATTTCACCTGAACCCCCCGATTATATAAAATATGTAATGCACACCCAGATTTCTATTAATCAATATATTGTATAATCTTCACCAAATCCTTCAACTAAATTCCAGTGTCTAATTCACTCCCACGTATATGTTACTTTATAAATCCTATTGGACCTCCTTGATTAGATCTCCGTCGATAAGTTTGGTTTTGATTTGAGTTTGAGTTTGAGTTTGATTCTGATCCTGGGATTCTGATATTATCTATATAATCCACCTTGAACCCCTCAATTAGATTTCTGGGTATTTTTACCCTACCTTTAGAAAGGTAAATCACAAGTAAAGAAAGGAACTCCACCTGAATCTTTTGATTAGATGCCAGCCTATAACTCATCCTGGGTGTCTGTTATTCCACATATAAACACTCTCAAAACCTGTGATTAGTTTACAGACTGTAACTCACTCCCAGATATCTGTTACACATTAACTGCTGTAAACCCCTTGATTTGATTCCAGTTTTTAACTCAGTCCTGGGAATCTGTTATGTTATATATAAACCCACTGAACTACTTCATTAGATTCAAGATTGTAGCTCACTCCCAGGTATCTGTTATTCTATATATAAATTACCTCAAATAACACCACAGAGGCTAGTATCCTGTCACCAAGTCACTCCTTATTTACTTTACATGCATAGTACTTGACACTGGTCTGCATCCTCAGAGCCAGCTCTGAGTGAACAGAACCTCTGACATTCCTGTTTATATCTGTCAGCCAGTGGTCCCTGATTGGACCAGATTAACAGCCTCAATCAAGGAATTCATATTCTAAGAGGTCTACCTGCCTGATCTCATTACAATCACTACACTACTCTGAACCATTCAAATACATTCACTCCTGTACATTCTGCCAATACTGTAACCTGAGCACTAACCCTCCGTAATTCCCCAGGTTTCCTTTGCATCTGTGTATTCAGGTGGAAGCAGCCAAGTTTTCCTTGTGACCCTGAACAGGAACTCGATGATGAACTGGTAACAAGATGGAGAGCACGCATTCTGTTCACACTCGCACTGACATATAGAAGTTGACAATTTAGAGAGATTTCTAACCTTTAAAGGAAAAATGATGTGTGTTTTATTATGCTGCATGTAGTCTTGTGCTTATTACCCAGTCACAGCCTCGTTGTAGTCAGTGCAGAAAAGACAAAGAATTTGAGGAGGTAGGTACTACAAAGCTAATCCCTCTGGTGCGGGGAACATGAAGACGGAACACTAACACAAGGTCCCGACATTCTAGGGGGTGATGCCAAGAAGCACTTAGCCACACAAAAGCCACTGAGTCTGAGTCTGGGGCTCAATTGAAAATTTCAAAATTTGATGGATTTTCGTTCAGTACATTTCATGGACCCAAGTCAAGAAACTGGAGCTTATTGGCAAAGTAAACTTGAGGGGCTGAATGGCCTTCTGAATTCCCGTCCAACAGATCGAAGGAATGAAGATTCTTCTCCTGTTTCTGTTAAACGGACCAAGGAGCGAAAGGGCCTCCTTCTCTTCCTGTGTAACAGGCATAAGGAGGCTGAATGGCGTCCCCTGTTCCCTGTGTAACATATTGAGATGCGGAATAGGCTTCCTCCTGTTCCTGCTTACTTTTAAAATCGTCATTCATGTTTTCATATTCCTCTGTGGTCTTGCTTCTCCTTATCTCAGTGACCTTCTCCAGCTCTAAAAGCCTGCAAGATCTCTGCACTCCTCTAATTCTGGCCTCTTGAGCATCCTGGATTTCCATTGCTCTGCCATTGGTGGCTGTACCTGTAGCTACCTGAATCGAAGCTCTGGAATTCCCTCCCGAGCCAGTCCACCACTCTCCATCTATCTGTTTCTTTAACATGGCTCTTAAACCATCTCTGATCAGAGATTTAGCCATCTGCCCTAATATTGTTGTGTGTAGCTTGGTGCCTAATTTTGGGCAGAAATTTATGGTTCACCTCTGCAGGTTGTCATAGTGAGATTGGGGGAGGGGAGGGTGCTGTAAATTTCCTAGAGAGCCTGCTCACTGTTCCCCTGTCCTGCCCTGATTTCTTTGTAATTAGAGCCACCCACGTTTACCCCAGTGAGGCCCTTAATTGACCAAAAACCCAGTGAGGCCCTTAACTGACTAATTAGTGGTCATTTCCTACTTGACCTCAATTTTTAGGCTTGAGGGAAGAGTTAATGGAGAGGATAGGCCTTGAAAGTGACCCAGGTCAATGAGAAGAAGATGGGCACTTCCATCAAAAAGCCCCCTTTCAACAGCAACCACATCCCCCAGAACACTCCAGCATCCCTGGCTGCTCCATCCTTCCCATTCCCCAGCAAGACTTTCTCCCATCTCCCATTGACCCTCTTGGGCATCACCTCCTCTCCCCAACCTAAGACCCTGTCCCTGAGATCTGGCACTCTCTGGACTGTTTGTAGTGCCAAGCCAAGCTGGTGTAGTCTCGGGGACTCGTGCAACAAAGTGCATCCCACCACCCAATTATCTGACACTTCTTTGAGCTGGGACTTACTCTCAAGTGAGCAGCGGAAATCCCCTTTTCAGCCAATTCCCAATCCCTGAAGCATTCACACTCTATCAGTTTGATGCATTCCTCTCCACTTCATTGTTGGCATTCAGAAAACACCACCATCCTATAATTCATGCCCGAGGTTTTTTTTTCTGTTCCTAAGAAGCACCTTGAGATGTTTTATTACATTAAGGGTGCTATGTAAATGCAAATTGTTCTTGATGAATTGATTCTTGAGATTTTAAAGATTGTGGGATTAGACTTGGTGAGTTTGTTTGTTGATGTTAGCGATACAGATTTTCAGTAATTAAAAACAGAAAGAGCTGAAAAATCTCAGAGAAGATTCCAAAGAAGATTCATATAAGACTTGAAATATTGCCTGTCCTCAGTTTCTGTCTCCTCAGACCTGCTGAGTATCTCCAACACCTCTATCTTTATTTCAGATGTCCAGCATTAATA